TAGCCATTCTAACTGGGGTGAGGTGGTATCTCAATGTTGTTTTGATTTGCATTTCTTTGATGGCTAGGGAGGTTGAGCATTTCTTCATGTGTCTATTGGCCATCCTTCTTTCCTCTTCAGAAAAGTTTCTCTTGAAGTCTTTAGCCCACTTATTAATTGGGCAGTTATTTCTTTGAGGATTTGTTGTTGGGGGATTTAATTTTTTGAGTTCCAGGTATATCTTAGATATGAGGCCCTTCTCCATTGTATGGCTAGTGAAGATCTTCTCCCAATTCGTGGGCTTTCTATTGATCTTGCTAGCTATGTCCTTTGCCATGCAGAAGCTCTGGAGCTTCATGCAATCCCATTTGTCCAACCTTTTTTGATTTGTTGTGTTTCTGGGTCTCTATTAAGAAAATTTCAGCCTGTGCCAAGGAGACCTAAGGTTTTTCCTATTCCGTCCACACCAGCTCTATTTCTGACTTATGGGTAGTTAATTGGAGATGAGGGTCTCATTGAGTTTCCTATCTGGGCTGGCTTTGAACCAAGCTCCACAAATCTCAGCCTTCTGAATATTTAGGATTACAGTTGTGAGCCAGCAGAACCTGTCCTAACCACTTCTTACTACTGTTTTGCTGCCAGAGGATGTACACTTCACTCAAGCCAGGTATGGCTGTCTGACCTGTGGTCCGCTATTGAAGTACCTGCTTATCATTAGTTTAATTGCTCAAATTAGGTTTCAGTAAATCCTTCCCAAAAATGACACACCTGCAGTGAATGTAAGTTATTTTACAGACTGTTTCTAGGGATTGCTTCAAGTCTGAATTCCAGCATGTTCTTGGTACCTCTAGACTTCTTTGCAGACTGACTACGTACAGCCAGCATTTACTGACTTATAATTACAATATTTGGTGAAACCTCCCATTCTCTACATACATAAACAGACTCATACATATCATTTATTCATCGAACACATGCTAGTTAAACACTACATATTATAAACATTCTTGATATATAGATTCTAGAAATTAAAGAAAGAAAAGTTTTCCCCTACCTTGCTTGGAAAGAAAACATTTCTACATATCCAAATTCTGGGACAATCACAATGAAACTGGCCCAAACCTTTGAGGAAAATTCCCATTGTAACAATGAGATATGCAAAACACTATGTTGAAAATGAACTTTATAACTTCGGTGGGGGGTAGTTGTGGAGGTGGGAGGGAAGGGATGGTAGGGGGAAAACAAAGGAGGAGGCAACAATGCTCAATAGGAAATGTACTCATTACCTTGCTCATGTAACTAACCCCCCTGTACAGCATTTTTTTTTACAATAAAAAATGTACAAAAAAAAGTGGTTAAAGTAGAGAAACGGGCTAGATCATAGCTCAAGTGATACAGTTCCAAATTAGCAAGTAGGAGGCCCTGAGTTCAAACCATAATACTACCAAAAAAGGCTGGGAAAAAGTTAATTCCTGTAGACCCAGTAACAATATTCTTGACAATCTATTCAGAAGAAATAAACCAATCTTGCCCTCAAGAAATTTGTATGTTGGGGCTGGAAAGTTGGCTCAGTGGTAGAGTGCTTGACTTGCATGCATGAGGCCCTGGGTTCGAGTCCCCAGTACTACATAAGCAGAAAAAAGTCAGAAGTAGTGCTGTGGCTCAAGTGGTAGGGTACTAGCCGTGAGCTGATGAGCTGAAGGACAGCGCCCAGGCCCAGAGTTCAGCCCCCACAACTGGCAAAAAAAAAGAAAGAAAGAAATTTGTATGTTAAGTATAAAATAGCAAAAAAATTTCATTTGAAGATAAATAAGATCGGTTTAATTCTGCAAAAGAAGAATAATGGAAGTGTAATGGTATATACAAAACTAAAATAATGAAAACCCTGGGTGCACTAGTATTAGATTAGATAGGTAATGTATAATATAACCCAACCCTAG